GAAACAAAATGCGTTTGTCTCAATGCCAAAGTTATGCCCATAAGGACAAGAGCAGAAAAAATATATACCTGATGACGGCGTTTTAAAATAGCCAGCCAACGTCAGCAATAAGGAGCTCATGCCTGCTGTTTTTCAGATGGTCAAACATTTTTATCATTAAGCGATAAACTGGCGCCACCGTTCTGAAAAACAATTGTCTTTTTGCCCTTGAATTTCTAATTGTTCTAATTTGGGATCTTCCTGAAAATACATTGAAACATATCCTCCACGTTGAACATTACGTTTGAATTAAAATTGCTCCACGTATTTGCGTCATTCAACAACATCGTTCAAGTATAAAACATCCTCATTGATAAACGACTCGTCATAAGCTTATTCACCAAAAGTTGGTAAATACAACAGATCAAAAGAGCTGAAAACTGAGGTACGTAAAGTATAAAACATTTTACCAAATATTACAGATAAAGACGTTTTATTAGTAACAGTATTTCGTCGTTTGATTATTTTACTTTGATCATGAACAGCTGTATCGACACCACTGGGTCGTATGTGAAAATATTCTCCTGTTACGGCCAACAGTTTAAGTACCTTTTTGATTCACTCTACTCCTTTCCCCAAGAAATGCTTAATACCCAAACTAGCGATTTGTAGATATGCTAGTGGATGAATTGGACTCGAGCCTTTGTAATATTTAGGTCGTTAAAGTCGCCAATGGGTTTTGTGTTAAAGTGGGTGGTTGAAATTGCGAGTTGACTTTGTAAGGCCAAAACACAGTGTGTACTGTAGGCAGTATTTTCTGCCTACTTTTAGGTAAGGCAAGTCGATCACGGCTCACCAGTGAATTAGCATTGTAAGTAGTTAGCTTTGAGTTGTTAAGTAAGCGAAGTCGCGGCACGAATGGGAGTTGCAGGTTGTGAGGTCACGGTTAAAGGCCTTCACTGTATTTTTTCACAAGTTTATGTGTATTTTCCCCTAACATGAGGTAAGATCACTGAATTAAAAAGATGTCCAAAGATGAGTTCAGTGAGGTCTTAAATTAAACAGATATTCTTTTTATATACCATCGAACGATTGCTAGTACCTGGTATAACAATGCAATTACCCTTTAGTGATGCTTTATCGTGCTTTTACAACTTCCTTGCATTCGCTCAAACTGTTCTTTCGATCCCCTTCTTAAAAGAGAAGACCTTACCTCTCATTTTCATAGCACTTTAAACGTTTTTTAGCGGCATAGCACTTTTTGAAACAAGAGAATTTATTCTATCTCGCGGAAATATATTAAAAAAGAATGATGTGCACTTCTTACGATGATGTGAATCTCATTGAAAATAGAAGTTAACTGAACAGGCCAAAACGTTTTCATTCCGTTATAATCCCGAAGACCGACTTACATATCGTCATATATCTGTAGAACATTTTCCTCTTCAAAATACCCTTTATCATCGGTCAATTGCTTCTGTTTTTGTTTTGTTTTTTGTTTTGTTTTTTTTTCGCCTGGAGAAGGAAAGAAGTCATATCAAAATTTTAGCGATGGAATTGAACGTTTTCAGATTTCAGGGTTATACAGTATAATAAAATTGCTCCAAATGGGAATACAATTCCATTATTTGACTGTATAAACATAAAACAAATACTATCATAAGCTTACTATCAAAAAAATCTTACAACAATCGGCCCAAAATGCGAAACAACAAAGCGGTTCCAGTAGACTTTCCGAATTGTTTCTTCATTCACTGAATTCAGTTTTATTAACAAGTCATATTTTCGAAAAGACGACAAGAACCGGAAAGGTTCATTTTGATGTTTGCAATAAGATTGACGAAAATTTGAAATTCACAATGACTCCACGCAAGCATGCGATCCGATGAATATCAAATGACAGTCCTGCTAAAATTTCTCATAACAACTTGTATAACTATACGAATGTTTCGACAATCATCCAATCAAAATCACTACCCGGTTTTCGGATAGTGACGTCACTGAACAGTATGTACGCCTGGTACTTTCAGACGTCTTTCTCCGGAGTTTGCGACTGTATAACTATATAACTTTTTATTAATTAATAAATCTAAGGATTTTTATATGGATATACTTAGAAAGACAAATCTAAGGGCGTTACTTCTAACCTCAGCGTTTATCGAGTGAGTCATTCATTATTGTGAATTAAGTGCATTTCCTGCGTGGTTATCTATAAATACCGTTTTCTTTTGTGCATAAATTTATTCATCCACCTGCTACGCAGGTTAAGAAAGAGATGGTGCCTAAAATAAATCCCAGGGATTTCCGTTTACCGCCTGTATAGCTTAAACATTTTCTCGGTGATGGATATTGTTCCATAGACTTTGAACGTAAACATTAAAGGGCACTCAACTTCATTTGGATTTTACTTTATCATCTTGGCCAGACATCAACATCTTTCAGCAATACTCACTCTTGGAACCGATATCAGTTTTTTTATCACTAAAACCCAATGGAAAATTGGGTAAGACGACACCAACGAGGTCTACTTTTCCCGCTCTTTTTGAACAACTCTGACGAGGGTTCAATTACGTTTCCCAGGTATTAAAAATGGAGATGAATTTTATCAATTAAAGGCCTTAGTTGGCGTTCTGGCTGGTTCAAACCGGTGCAAGGCTTCCGCTTAGCAGAAGGGCAATAAACCAACTGAGCTAACCGGGAGATAAAAACCGGGCAAGGAATATGAATTAATAAAGTAAACTTGAGTCAAGGAAGAATAATATTTGTTATTTGTCATAATTTATTTGCTATCAGAAGATAGCGGCACGCAACTCTTTAATTTTAATGGCTCAAAAATTAATACAAATAGTAAAGGAAATATCTCCTCAAAAAAATGTTTCTGTGAGAGGTGTAATTATTCTATAATTTGACTTATTTGGAAAGCGAAGATCCTCAGGTTTTCGTTTTGTTGCTCGATCGCGACTCTTGGGCTAACTAGCTACAGAAAATGCTGGCGCCAGAACCAGTACAATAATTGTTATTAAATCAACTTTGCTGCAATAATTCATTTAGTTGGTTCAATAACTCGCAATATGTGGTCTACTGGAGAAACGAGTGAGTTTGCGGAACTTGCTTAAGGTGACGACACGATTCGCAACGACGATTTTGAGCGCAACACAGCGTAGCAATGTCGGAACAATGTTGCAGCCATTCGAAAGAGTGTCGCAACAATGTTGTAATGCTGCGTTGCGCTAAAAAATCGTCGTTGCGAATCGTCCCGTGCAACATCACCTTTAGGATTCCTCGCTTATTATCTAAGTTTCGTAGAACTGTAAGTAATAACAGAAACTTGCCGTTACCACAGAAGGGAAAAAAAAAAAGAAAGAAAGAAAGGAAAGTGAATCATTTCAGTCTGTATCAGTTCGTACTTACATGACACATCAATCATAGGGTTAATAAACTATATTTCTTTAAAAGAAAATGCATTTGTCTCTCTGCGACTAATTAATTTAATTAATCTTATGTTTCACGTCAACTCATTAATAATTATTCAGTTTCTTGTTTGTATTTTGACAGTCGTCGCATACACAAACTTATACAACTGGGCCAACAGCTGCTCGGATCTTTCTCCAAAAATGCATTTGTTTAGAGGGAAAGAAGTGTATTTTTTTCCGTAGGTGATTGCTGAGGAGATGAAATAACCTTGCCCTTAGAACAAGGTCAAATTTCATTAAATCCGTGTTTAATTGGGAAATGTATTCAACACTTTATGTGGTCTCCATTGCTTAAAAAAATGCAAAACAAAAAAAACAAAAACAGAAAAAAATAGAGTGGAAATTCTTGAAAGAAATTCCACTGAATCTTTATAGTGTGAAAAAGTATTTTTAAGACGGCAACATAACCGTTTTTGTTGTTGTTGTTTTTCTTTGTTTTTTTTTTTTTTGTTTTCGTGTTTGTTTTTGTTTTTGTTTGTCGTTTTGAATTCCGGTCACCGCGGTCTCCCAGTAAGCTTGAACGGGCTTTATAAAATTGACTTTGTTTGATCCGCCAGGGTGATCTGCGATCGGACTATATAATTCCCTGGCGTATATACTTCTTTATAATAACTGTCTCCGTCTCCAGGGGAACTCCTCTATTAAAGTTACTGATAGGATGATATAATTATGTAGATAAGCTGCATAGATAATTAACGTTTTTGCCTGCAAATCGGGGACAGATTTTGTCTCCAGTTTCACCCTGAGCAGGGTAATGTATACATGAGAATCATGTATTTTGTTGTGAAATAGAGTAAGGGAGTTAATTAAGGAATTCAGCCTTATGGCATCACCGGCATTTTCCCGTAGGCTTTGATAGATTGGACTGGCATAATTTTCATCTATTTTTCGAAAAAAAACAAACAAACACTGCCAGCATAATTTGCACTTTTGGCTATTTTTGCATTACAAAAATTTTCCTTTATTGATTATTTTGGCCCGAGATCTGTGTTACAGGCAAATTTAAGTAACGAAATCATTTTTTGTCTGCCTATTGTCAAATTCATTGCACCTGGGTCCAACAGGAAGTGACTCAGGACTCTCTCCACAAGACTCAACCTATGGACATAGCAAGCTCGGTTACCTGGGGTGGCGTCCGCGTGTTGGTTGTTTATTGGTTGAGTTTTTATACTTGTCAGACAATGAATTAAGCTCTCACAAAGTTTCTTGGTGTAAACAGGGTAAACGAGTTTGCCATTCACTTGTAAATGAGACAATGAGGTGTTTTTACAAAAATTTAAAGTAAAAAGTAGAAGAATAATTTCTGATTTTTTTTTGCTAAAGCGATCAGAATTATTGGCATAATTTTAGAAATATAAGAGGCACACAAATAGCATATCATGCTACTTTGCGAGCACAGTCTATCAAAGCGTATTTTCCAGGGTTATTCCTTTCCTTCCCACGCTTAATCGTAGTTATTAAACTTTGCGTGCATAACTCTTTAATACACCCAAGAAATTCAGTGACCTGCAACGAACCATGATTATTTTGTTTTCAACAGATTGGAAGATGGCTGGCACGAAAACATTAATCATTATTTTCGTTATCATGTTCCCAGTCGCGATGATAACAGAGGAAGATGTAAATCATGGAGGTAATAACTAACAACTACGACATCACTAATAAAATTTAATTGCGCTGACCTGCGGATTGTCGCCGTTTTATTTCAGCATCCTGGAAAATTACTTAAGTTTGCAGAATTGAATGACAGGGAACATATGATTTTAAACTCATAACGAAGCGTCTACCATTTTTATTTTGACCCTGATAACGTGCCAGACATCGTCCATAACACAACATGTTTCCCCCTAAAATTTTGCATGAAAATTGTTTGTCAATTTTTCTAGGGAATAAGCAGTCATTATGAGAGAAATTGAAGACAATTTACTTATGCAAAATTTTGGGGGGTAAACAAGATGTTTTATGGGCAATGTGAAAATGGTGAATATGTTAACAACTGTATTTGTTTCATTTTTTAAAAAAATTTATTCATCAAAAATGTACGATCAACATTTCGCAAGATTTCTTTCGTTCAGAGACCGTTCACGAATTGCCTTTCTGTAATTTTTCTTCTCTAGTGGATTTGAAAAAAAAAAAAATAAATCTTGGTATAAAGTCAACTCCCCCTTTACAAACACCTCTTAAATACGGACAACCCTCTGGTGTTGCCACTGTCCAGTCATTTGAGTGTAACTATGCTGTCTGTAAGACGGAAATCTCTCTAACACGGACAACAGACACTTTTAAAGCCGTGAACGGACTCTTGCGAAGTGAATACCTCAAGACGGAAATGTAGGTGTACTACATGACAGATAATTGCAATTAGGGTAAAAATGAAACCATGTAACCATGTTACACACAGTTACTTTTTGATCAAGGGAAATCAATTTTAGTTCGAGTTGGGGGCGAATTCGAGTTATCCGAGTTCGAGTTAACCGAGTTAAAATGACTGGAAAGTAGGATGAAATCCAAGGGAAATTGGACTTAGTTTGAGTTAGCGGGGAGTTCGAGTTATCGAAGTACGTGGGTTTCACTGTATAACAATTTGTTTTGCAGGAGTATAAACTGTTGTTGAAAGAAGCGACTGCTGAATTTTTATTACTTTGTAGCCTTGTTCCGGTTCGCAGAGTGTATACTTTTACGCTTTTAGACGCCGTGAACGTTGACATGTAATGAACCACCTCTGATTGTACATTGAGAAAATGATTCCACCTTTCCAGTACATTGTTTCAGTAGTTTTGACTGTTTTGCACAAATGGAAACGATGTGTATTTATCGCGAATAAGTTGGGCTTTATTTTCTTGTAATTACTGGTGCCACCTTATACTTTGACTCTCTATTAGCGGGACACCTCCCTTTAATAGACGGAGAGTCGGGACGGGTCCAAAAGGTATCTGAATTGACGGTATTATTATTATTATTATTAATATTAATATTATTATCATTATCGTTATCGTTATCGTTATTATTATTAAATTGTTATTGTTATTATTTATTTCTATTAAATAATTATTTATTACCTACACTAATAATTGTTAAATTTATTATTGTTTTGCAAAGTTAATAAAATGTCGTTATCTTTCGGATTGAAATTTACTGCTTATATGTGTTGCTGTTTTTCAGTTTGTCCAGTCCCGATGAATAAAGAAGAAGAGGAGTTTATTAAAGAGCGGGAAAGGAACAGAGAATTAATGGAAGAGATCGCCAGAGAAATTGAAATGACGTGCTTAGGTAAGTTAAACTGATTAACTTATAATAATAATAACCTTGGATGAGCAAGTCTTTCCGCGTGAATTGCAGGCCATTTTGAATAGTTTACCCTTTTGGGACAGTTGGGAGTGTTTTATATAGAACAATGCAGATTTTGCATTTTTAAAGCCACTTACCCTCTTAGTTTTAAGCCAATTAGTTGGTAAGCAGCGAGTCCAGGATGTTATACATACATACACTGTCTACAGGTAGCCATTTCGACTCCTGAAGGAGGATCATGGGGTTATCCCACTAGCTCAGGCAAGGCTGGCCACACCACAGGGGTAAACGTCCCCTACTCTTTCTGCACTTTGGTGTGGGTTCTTTTATGTCTCACAAGTACCAGATAAGTCCCGTGGGACCTACGGGACTTACAGTTTTTCTTCCTTAAGACTTCTACTTCTAGTTCTGGTCTCTTCTTAGTTATTTAAGGAGCCTTAGTGTTGGTCCGGCCGGGGTATGAATCCGCGACCTCCAGCTCAGCAGACCGGCGCTCTCCCGACCAAGCGCTAGTTGAAAAACTTGGCACACTGCTACCTTATTATGGAAAGCCTGACCAATTGGGCAAAAATCTACTGCCAATTTAACAATTCGAAAACGTTTATGCTATTTTGTTTTCTAAAAACGCCCAAAATTTTCGGACTTGGAATTTGATGGTAACATTTCTGAAAAATGATTGCTAGTCCATGAGCCATTTTGTGAGAAGTGGTTAAAAATTTCGTAGCATCTCCTTATGGGAAATAGTTTCCTTGGTATCAAATGAAAGCTTAGGGTGTGCTAAATTGTGATTAGTCTGTTTCCAAACATGAGACTTGAGGAGCAGTACTGGAGCGTTATATTAATTATTGGGGGCTTAAACGGTTGCGGTTAATTCGAAGCCTTTCTCTCAAGTTATTAACCCCTTTCAATTCGATGAAACTTTTTCAAAGATATACAATTCATGGTGACAATTGAAACAGGAAATCCGAATTTGAGTTTTAAATCCAAATTTTAGATTTTGCAATCGAACGCGAAATGCAAGACGGATCTCACCCCCACCCCCCGAGATCGATCGAGAAATGCGTCCCCGAGGTTGCCCAATTCAGGATTTCATGGATTTCCTTTATTACCGTTCTACTAGGAAATGCGAAAAAGGATTTGTAAAACTGTTCTCGTGAACAGTGTTCTTTTTTCCTGCTTGTTATGCGTGTGCTTGCGAGACAAATGATCTTCAAAACAGTTCAAATTCCTTTCTCGTATCCTCGCACCCCTTCTCGCGCCTGAAAAAGAAAAAGGAAGAAAGAAAGAAAAAGAAAAGAAAAGAATGAAAGGAACTTTGCTATGAAAGAAAAACTTGCCCTTTAGGCGCAGAGGAGCTCAGAATAAACGTTGGCGTAAACGAAAAAAGAAGCAAAAAATTATCCAGCGCTGATGGTGGCACTCCAAAAGCGCGCGAAATACTTGAACCGAAAGTCAAAATTCACTTGCATACCAACTGTGTAGCCTAGCAACACGATAGGATAAGAGGCTCTTAAGGGATGCAACGTTTCTTGATCGGAGTACTGAGACCAACGTTTTCTCAATGAATTTTAACCAAGAGATCACGATATCAGTTGTTTGAGCTAAAAGAAAGAAAAATAAATAATCAAAACAACTGTTGAACAACTGAAAGAGTGAAAACTGACTGTACAGGTGACTTTTAAGTCAATGGAATTCTTGTAACTAACCTCTACTTGCTGATTTGTAGACGAGTGTGAAACAGGACTACATAACTGCCACGATGATGCATTCTGCACCAACACCAAAGGTTCCTTCACATGTACTTGCAAACCAGGATATACTGGGGATGGTGTCAACTGTGCAGGTAGCATAATAAGGAGCTTAAACGAACAGGATTTTATCATAAGTCATATATGCTATTCCAAGCCAAACAAAATACAGCCAAATGGAAAGGTAGAAACCTGTTTTCATATTCAGTCAGTGGTATGCCACAGGTTGTATCTAAGAAAAAAATATTCTGGCGTTGGTACGTGTAAATTTGTGGCCTCCAATTTGCCCAATAGCTACAGCCATAATTAAAAGGCAAAAAAGTTTATTTAGAGCCAACCCTGAAATGCTCGTATGTTAACACAACAATAACACAAATAACTAATTGCTTTCACAAAAAAAAATGCTACAACTAGCTGGTCGAGCTCGAACTGCATCCTCAATTATGGACACAGGCTCAATGCCAGTTAGGCTGGGGAAACAAAACCTCTGACCAATAGATGACTGGGACAGGAAACACTGTAGGAGCACAGAGGCTTAGAGACAGAAAAATATGAGCTTTTCTTTGATGTAACGGGATCATTTTCACTAATATACCTAACAAGGCAGGTAGGCCAACAGCCAGCTAAGCTGCTAGGAACAGTGAGGGTGCAACATTTAAGGTAAACAGATGGCTAACGACCCTGGCTGATAATTTACTGCATCAATCATAGTTAGTCACTGACTTATGTCGCCATCTAAAGAGAGGTTCCGGGAAAGTTGACCTAAGCCTACATTGAGACTAAATACATAAGTTAAGGAACAGGTGCAAAACGGCGCTAACCGTACAAATACATAAAATAAGAGAACTGCCAGGGCTGGGCTCTAAAGCATTGCATTGCTATATCCCTCATTCTGAAAAGACATAAGAATCCAACTGATTCAGTTTGATAATTCAGCATTTAATCTTGATTTCCAGACATAGACGAGTGCAAAACAGGAAAACACAACTGTGACGTCACTAGATGGTGCTATAACACGAAAGGATCCTTCGACTGCCCTTGCAGGGAAGGTTATTCAGAAAATGGAGAAAATAAATGTACAGGTAACACTTCAGGATCCCTTAATTGAAAGACTCATATATTTCGTGGCCACGTCTCTTTCAAATCAATTTCCTCAGCTCCAAGGTGGTTTTTCACTAAATTCGCCTTAATTTAAGTCTCGTTAATTTCCATAATACCTTTTACTAGTACTGATACCAGAGCATTAAGTTCCTTTATTATTCATTCAAAATATTTCCCCAATTCTTATTGGCTAAAAGCACACGCTTAATTCACCATAACCAGTTGTGTTTAACGAGGAAATGACGTCAAAAATGCAGCCTTCTACAGGTTAATGCACCGTTAACCGAGAAGACCTGGGAAGGACATTGAGTTGTTTTCGTTGTAAAACCTAAAATGGCGGCCACTTCACTCGTTTCAAGAGTAAGAAGTACAGCTGGAACTAGGCGAAATAATGGCTAAAAACATAGCAAAAAAGGCAAGAAGACAACTCGCAGGGTGACATCTGCTATTTTGAGAATATTTGCGGAGCTGGACAAACCTAAAAGTAAACTATCGAAGATAAACTTAACGTCGATGCAGGTAAGCTTGTTTTGGCTATGTTTTTGAACTAGGAATTATTTTGAATGAATAATAAAACAATTATTGAATTCGGCTTTCGTATCATATGAAGAATTACGGAGATCTCGGAGGGTGTTATCCGCCTCGGTTTACGGCCTGAACGGATAACACCCTCCTCGATCTCCATAATTCTTCATAAGATACTCAGCCTCATTCATTAATTGTTAAATAATAAGTCAGGTATACTATGTTAATTCTAATAGGCCATTTTCAAGTTGACTCCAGCTTCTGTCTTAAGACGAGGCGAAATGCGAAGCCTTTTAATAAGAAAATTAATTTCAAAAGAGAAAGGTGTAAGGAAGACCTCGTTTTGAAAATGAGGGCTTTTGGAACTCGGAAAGTATAAATAAATATTGAAATATTAAAAGCCTGAAATGGCTATTATGGTAGGCTACTGTTACTTGCCGCGAAAGAAAAATTCAAAAATCCATTTATTCAGTGCCTGACTTCTTAATTGCAGATATAAATGAATGTGAAACAGGAAAGCACAACTGTGGGGCAAACGCTACTTGTAAAAACACTAAAGGATCCTTTGTGTGCACCTGCAAGCCAGGGTACTCTTGGAATGGAGTTAGCTGCACAGGTGAAAACAGTACCTTGGTCTTCTTTATTATATGCCACAGGGTAGTATGCTGCTTCGTTCCTAGAACTACAGTTTGTTCTTTTAAGGAGAATAACGAGTATCGAAATGCTCTTGCATACTGCTATAGTTTGTGATTTGCAGTATCTGTATGCAATTTTAGCCTCAGTTATACATGCTTGAGATCTTTACAGTTTTCATGTTTATTATAATTGAAATTGTACGCAATATTGACAACGCAATGTAACGAACTTTGTAAGATCGCGCGCGCTTTAAATTCAACGGCGATTTCAAAATATGTAACACTGAAGACGACGGATGTACCGTCGAAACATGTCTGGAAAATTAAAGAAAGTTGTTATGTTTATACGACTATCTATATTGTTGCTGCTATCTAGACTAATTGTAACTGTCCTCATGCACGATTGCGATGTCCGCTCACGCATTCACGCTGGGTGAGACAATTGCTTTTAAAAATCAGACCAGTGTACACAATTCCGTCAGTTTTGTTCCGCTCCACTTACAGAGTATGAACAGAAAAGTGTCTTTTTTATGCCACCTTCTGTTGGCAGTTTTTCTTCAGCAGGGAAGTCGTTCTGCATTCTCCAGTATCTTGCTTCCTTAGGTTTCGCAAATCCTCTATCTATACATATGATGTTATTTCTTCATTTATCACCGCTTCAGTATACAGTATAGCAATTATCTTTTTTCTTCTCAGTACAACCTCCAGGAAAGCTCTCTCTTCTGACGGTACTCAATCCTAGAAAATAAAAGGTTAAGTAAATCAGTTTTGATGATTCAGTCCTGCACCTGTTTTGCAGACGTAAACGAGTGTATAACAGGAGTGAACAACTGTAACGCTAATGCAGACTGCAATAACACTGAAGGATCTTTCGAGTGTACTTGCAAGCCAGGGTATTCTGGGAACGGAGTTTACTGCATAGGTGATTATATTTTAGTAGAGACTTGAGTCGTCTTAATGTTAAGGCTATTTCAATATCATTTGTGTCGAGTTCACGCGTTTGAGTCAGTAGAATCCAAAAGAGACATCTCGAAATGTAAAAATAAGAGTTTGAAGTCTAGCCTCATCGTACTTAGTGTACTTGCAAATCAGGATATTTTGGGGATGGTGTCAACTGTGAAGGTAGCATAATATGGAGCTTAAACGAAAACAGGATTCTATCATAAGTCATATATGCTATTCCAAGCCAAACAGAATACAGACAAATGGAAAGGCAGAAACCTGTTTTCATATTCAGTCAGTGGCATGCCACAGGTTATATAGCAAAAATGTTTTTGCTTTTCAGTATAGCCAGAAATCTCTCGCTCTCTCTCTCTCTCTCTCTTCTGATCGTACCCAATCCTAGAAAATAAAAGGTTAAGTAAATCAGTTTTGATGATTCAGTCCTGCATCTGACTTGCAGACGTAAACGAGTGTATAACAGGAGAGCACAGCTGTGATGCCAATGCAGACTGCAATAACACTGAAGGATCTTTCGAGTGCACTTGCAAGCCAGGGTATTCGGGGAACGGAGTTAACTGCACAGGTGATTATATTTCAGTAAAGACCTGGATCGTCTTAATGTTAAGGCTATTAATTCAGTATTATTTTGTCTCGAGTTCACTCGTTTGAGTCCCTGAGTAGAATCCAAAAGTGACATTTCCAAATGTACAAATAAGAGTTTGAAGTCTAGTCTTTGATCGACAAAGTGATCGTTGTCATAATTATTTAGCAATTACTGAATGAGGCTGAGTAGGCTGCATGTGAAGAATTATGTAGAGCGAAGAGGATGTTATCCTCAATCTTGCGGTGACTCAGTCCAGCTTGATCGAAGTTTAGTACATCTGATCAATCCACTGAAAGCGTTACTTCTCCCAGTGAAGATAGATCATAGATAATAAAATAATCAAATCGCAGCCGGCTGAAGGCTGAATTGTTTAATTATTTACAATACAATGAAAAGTTTAAAATAATGGTAAAAGACTAATTTCAATTTTGTTAATTAGGAATAATGATAATGAAGAACTGAAAAAGTAAGAAAAAATAACGTAGTAACACTTAAATCTTACATTAAAATAATATGTTCGCAGCGGAAAGTGTGGAAAGTGGGGCAAGTCGTAAACTCTCTCCTGTTTGGTATGGTAGTTCAGCCTTGGTGGTTCGGAGAAAGCAGGCAAGCGAATTTGTGCTGATCGGAGGATATACTATTATAAGCAGCTTAATACACTGATCGTTACGCCTATCATATAAAGTGCTGAGACCAAAACTGACTAAACAGTGTTTGCATGATTTATCAGGCGCTATTATGGAGAGCGCTCTTTTTTGTACACGCTCACTTAGACAGTCGGGTAGGCTATGGTGGAAAATGGGTGAGCAATATTCTGGAACGGGTCTCATTACTGTACAGTGGAAGTCAACAATATCTTTACAGCTCAAGCTGAACCAAAAAAAAAAAAAAAAATACAAACGCTTATTTGCTTTCTTAATAGTTTCATTTAGTATTCATCAAATCAGTGGATAGCAATTTTCGTGTGTTCTGATTGGCTCCCGTAACTAGGAATATCCTTGGATATTAACTGTTTCATTTGTTCATGACGGGATTCTGCTTCTCTTTTCGCCACAGCTTCGAAAGATGAAATTTTAGCGGTAAATGAAGCAGCTGCACCAACAAATACCAAGAAAGAGAAAAAAAATTGCTTGGCGGTGTTTACTGGTCGCTAGAAAAGAATTTTCTTACCGAATTTGGAACAAAATCATAACAAATGATCCCAGAAACACTGTAAATTGAAACGTAAACAAACGCGAACAAGGTGATTTTTATCCAATTGATTTGGTAAATACTAAAACAACTATCCCCCTCAGGGTCGGTTCATAGCGCTAGATATATACCTCAACGCTTCGCGTCTCTTTATATTCCACCTGACTATTCTGATCACCTCCCGATAGTGGTATATTATATAAACCTTCCACTTGAGATCGTTAATAATAATAATAATAAAACTTATATAGCACCGATATCAATATTGCTATTTTCATCAGTGCTTAAGAATAAAAATAGTTAAAAAAAAAAAAATTACTAGGACTACATAAAGTATACAAAGTGCATGAACCTACCAAAAAGAGTTAAAACAATTATGTCAACACTAAAATTATAAAAATTACCTAGTCTACTTAAATGGAAAAAAACTGCATAAAACCTACTAAAAACGAGATTAAAAAACACATAAAATTACACAAAAGCTTTCTGAAATAAAAATGTCTTGAGTGTCTTTTGAAAAGATGCTATTGAGGGGCTACTCCTGATCGCATAGGGCCATGAATTCCATAGTTGAGGAGCAGCAGCAGCAAAAGATCGATCTCCTAACGTTGTTAAAGTCTTGATTTCACAGGGTTTAGTAGCAGTCTATCACAATCGGAGAGTAAATTGTATTTACATGTTTCTTTAAGATTAATAAGTTCCTGGAGATAAAAAGGTGTTAAACCAGTGATAGCCTTTTACGTTAACAGTAGTATCTTAAAGTCAATTTTGAATTTAACCGGCAACCAGTGCAGATTATACAGCATCGGTCTTACGTGGCAGTATTTAGATTCTTGGAAAATTAACCTAGCGGCATCATTTTGGACCCTACAACAACAACAGCAACAACAATGTATTTATTTAAAGAAATATAAAGTTTACAATTTTATGTCCTGCAAATAGCTATAATGCTAATCTAGGCAGGACAAGACTTTAAATAAAGACGTTATTAAATTACATAAGAAAAAAGAAAAGAAATACAAAAACCTAGAGATAGAAACATCTTACATATATATTCAAATACAGGGACTTTTGTTATTTGAAAAGGACTAAAATTACAAGTGGAGGTATATATCAGGTTAACTTCACTAATAATATACATGAAAAAATTTCTCGATTGTGATTGGCTACGAGGAATGCAGTTTTTAGGTAACACAGTGCAGAAAAAAGGTAATTGAGTGCAGAAAAGAGTAACAAACGTGACATTCTGATTGGCTAATAAACAAAGGAACTCACTGAGAGCCAATCAAATGCGCCATCTAAATGGCGCAAAATTTGGATCCGCTCCGGCCAGACCAGTTTCGAGCAAAAACCGCAGTGGTTGGCGATTGCAGCACATTTGCTTTTGCGACCGAAACAACTGTAGAGGAGCTGAAAAACTGCTCTAAAAACGAAAACACTGCGAAAAGCACTGGTTTTTGGCTCTCTTTTTGGAGGAATTGGTGATAGGTAAGGAAATTACTGATGAAATAGAAAATTATGAGCCGGCTGAGCTTAACACTTCGCCCGAGCATTTCTACGCCGAAGTAAACAATACAAAAAAGGTGAGGATTTATGAACCAGAAACGAAGTCTTAAAGTAATGAAGGCATCGCTTGATAGACACTTAACGGAACAAAGGCTGCACCCTGTCTATTGTACGTGACCGAGAATTTAGTTCGTCCAAAGAGGTGTTGGAGGAAAAAGCGAAACAGCTTCGCTTGGCTGGCCGTGGTAAGCGCCCAAACAAAGCTCGGCAAGTATCAGAGGAGGAAGAAGAAATTCTCTGGAAGAGCGAAAAACTCGAGGTAATAACCCAGAATCTTTATTTCAAACACATTGAACAATTCCATGAACTGTTCAGCCTGTTTCTGCTGCTTGCAAACTTTAAACATCGAGCAAAATGTTGTTTTGACTGCACGTGTGATGATATTTGCAGCATTTGAATAATTTATTTTTGCACGTAGTTTACGCGGGTTGACTTCCTATAGGACAATTGCACGATGACGCCATTTGACTACAACTACCAGAATCCTTGAGTTTGCTGTTTTCTTGTGCAAATTTATAAGGCTATTGTTCTTTAATCCTCAGCGGGATTGACAAATTTAAATAACAAAGCAAAACCGAAATGAATTCTGGTAGTTCTAGTCAAATATCGTCATCGTGCAATTGTCCTATTAAAGAGATTTTAAAGCTATCTCGCAATTTTTTCATGAATATTATTAATAAGTAATCACATAAATTTTCTCGTGCAATTTGGAATGAATAAGCACTCGTAAATTTTTTCAAAGACCACAAATTGCACTCGCCCTACGGGCTCGTGCAATTTTGTTAGCCTTTGAAAAAATTTACTCGTGCTTATTTATTCCAAATTGCACTCGAAATCATGTGATTACCTATACAAAATATTCTATTAAATAATTCGCATTCAAATAATTATCTTCATTACCTAGAACGTTAAGGAGTGGTGATTTGTGCACCTATCAATGAAAACCCCGTGGGAGGGGGGGGGCAAGGGGGGGGGATTTGACAAATTTTAAAATTTTTTGATCAAATTCCCCAGGGTGGGAAACGAAAGGTCAATCAAAAGTGTCAAAAAAGACCCCACCCCAGGGTAAAAAATCTAAACAAACAATACTATAATACAACTTACTACTTTTATTTACGGTTAACGTAAGCTCCGTTAAGTTACTCGCTGTAATTAAGTATTTTCTCTCTCCACCAGCATTTCTTATTTTGAACAACAAAATCACTCCAGGAAGATTGACCGTGCTGTTATAATTTTAATGAAACGTAAAATGCTTTATAACATCTGCTCAACATGTCGGAACAGGTCAGATCAGTGACTCGTAAAAAATCCTCTGACTTTCATGGTGGAATTCGATTTCAGTTGAGTTTTACAATCAGATGGGAACTTGAAGATAAAAACTTTCTTAAAATAGACATTATCTGTTTAGGTGACAGTTAAAAGTATCGGATTATGGTGATTAAAACAAATGAAAACTTCATACCTTTCTCGAACAACGTGTGTACAGCGTGACTTTCAGAAAGCCTCGAAGAACGGACTTGGTAACTGCTTCTGAATTGATACCAGGAATACCAGGCTTCTGTCGGTCAAAGTCAAATGTCCCGACCCCGGGGTCGCTTCGCACGATCAAAAGCCCGACATGGGGATAGTCTCAGGCATCAAATCCTCGCCCCTTACCCCCGCCTCCCCCCCCTCACGGGATTTACATTGATAGGTGCATTATTAAGCTGGTAGGCTGGCAGGCCACAGAGTAGGCTATTACAATAGTCGACGCCACAGTGTTACACCTAAACGTTTGGCACTATTATAACAGCTAGTTCCGTCTCGTCGACCACAACAGGGCTGAAGACGTGTTTGTTATTTTTAAAGTCGATGATCATGTCCTTGCATTTGTCAGCGTTTAGTTGCATGCATTGCTCACGTGACCAGTCCTCGACGGCACTAACTGCGCTTTGAATGCCACCCTGTGCACTTCGCGGGACTAACTCATCAATAGTAGAGAGATTAAGCATCGCGTTTACGGCAAACGGCAAACTTGAGATTCAAGTTGAGAAATTTTTAAAATGAGAAATGAGCAGATAAAAGCAGCTTAAAACAATTCTTATGGCTAAAATTGGCCTGAATCTACCGATTTTCGTGTAGTTACAATGAACAGAAAACGACTAGTGAAGGGGAAACTTGCTTAGGTTTGCCGTAAACACGATGCATAATCTCTCTGGTAAGTATCATCAACGTACAAAATGTACTTTTATGTGTCCACACTGAAAACCCCTGAGGAATAACGATGGGCCTAGTTTGGTTCCTTGAGGCACACCAGCAAGCCTGCGTG